TCCCTGTCTGTCCGCAGTCTCTGGTCATCCCTGTGCTGTCCGCAGTCTCTGGTCATCCCCTGTGCTGTCCGCAGTCTCTGGTCATCCCCTGTGCTGTCCGCAGTCTCTGGTCATCCCCTGCTGTCCGCAGTCTCTGGTCATCCCCTGGTCCGCAGTCTCTGGTCATCCCCCTGTGCTGTCCGCAGTCTCTGGTCATCCCCTGTGCTGTCCGCAGTCTCTGGTCATCCCCTGTGCTGTCCGCAGTCTCTGGTCATCCCCTGCGCTGTCCGCAGTCTCTGGTCATCCCCTGCGCTGTCCGCAGTCTCTGGTCATCCCCTGCGCTGTCCGCAGTCTCTGGTCATCCCCTGCGCTGTCCGCAGTCTCTGGTCATCCCCTGCGCTGTCCGCAGTCTCTGGTCATCCCCTGCGCTGTCCGCAGTCTCTGGTTTTATGTACGTTATCCCCTGCGCTGTCCGCATCCCCCCCTGCGCTGTCCGCAGTCTCTGGTCATCTGCGCTCAGTCCCCCTGCGCTGTCCGCAGTCTCTGGTCATCCCCTGCGCTGTCCGGTCTCTGGTCCCCCTGCGCTGTCCGCAGTCTCTGGTCACCCCTGCGCTGCGCTGTCCGCAGTCTCTGGTCACCCCCGCTGTCGCTGCGCTGTCCGCAGTCTCTGGTCATCCCCTGCGCTGCGCTGTCCGCAGTCTCTGGTCATCCCCTGCGCTGTCCGCAGTCTCTGGTCATCCCCTGCGCTGTCCCTCTGCGCTGTCCGCAGTCTCTGGTCATCCCCTGCGCTGTCCGCAGTCTCTGGTCACCCCCTGCGCTGTCCGCAGTCATCCCCTGCGCTGTCTGGTCATCCCCGCTGCGCTGTCCCCCTGCAGTCCGCAGTCTGGTCATCCCCCTGCGCTGTCCGCAGTCTCTGGTCATCCCCCCGCAGTCTCTGGTCATCCCCTGCGCTGTCCGCAGTCTCTGGTCATCCCCTGCGCTGTCCGCAGTCTCTGGTCATCCCCTGCGCTGTCCGCAGTGCGCTGTCCGCCCCAGTCTCTGGTCATCCCCCTGCGCTGTCCGCAGTCTCTGGTCATCCCCTGCGCCCCTGCACTGTCGTCCGCAGTCTCTGGTCACCCCCTGCACTGTGTCCGCAGTCTCTGGTCACCCCCTGCACTGTGTCTGCAGTGCATTAGTTCAGAATTTTTTTTTCCTGTTTTCTGCCTCTAAAACCTAGGTGCGTCTTATGGAGCGAAAAATACGGTAAGTGCGAGGAGGAAGGGGCTGACAGTCTAAGTTTCTTAAAATATATATATTTTGTTTAGCCAAATTAGTTAACAAACATGGATGTTTAAGCAAATCACATATGCTGGAATGTTATTGTTTCAGTTGAATAAATCTATTTAAATTGTTATTATTAAGGTAATGATTATTTTTCTCCTTCCTAAGTACAACAGAAAAGTTGTCCAAATATGAATGATTAACCTATTAAACTGGGGATAAAAAAAACTAATATGAAAAGTTGTTATTCTAAAAATCTTCATCTACTTGCATATTAAAGTTATACCAGCAAGAATTAGTCTATGTAGAAAACTAGGATTTAAATCAAGCCTTACTGACTAGTGATTTAAATCAAATCCACCCTGGTTCTGATGTTGCTGCATTATGTAAATCTATTAGAATAGTCCTTTTACATTTTAGAATAGGGTGTCTCAAGACTTTCCAGAATTTTACAGCGTGCCTCGATTGTAGAAAGGTTTGAAAACATAGCTATAGTCACTAGCAGTAATCATTGTGTTCTGCTGGCAGGGATGGCTCCCCACTGGCAGAACACAATAGTGCTCCAGGAGGGATTCCCCCATCAACATTGACTGTGCTGATGTTGGAATCAAGCAATTTTTTTTTCCTGCAACCTCCACGCAAAGTTGCATCATCAATGACCTGCCTAACCATTCAAAGCGGGGAGACATCTCTCTTAGATTTCACCAGAACAGGTTTACCCTTAGCCTCATGTAGACAGGTGTATTGGGGGCTTACAATGTAAAATTCTGCATCCAGGAAGCCCATGTTGTGGACATAGAAAGCCATAGGCATGAACAGCTGTAAATGGGTATACACCTGTACTTGTGTACATTCACATTATAGCGCACAAATGCAGGCTTTCCATGTGGTACACGTGGGTTTATTTTAGTACTGACCTATACCTGCACATAGCCTTTCATGTCTATAGGTGGCTGTCTGCAATGCCTGAGCTCCACGGGCACTGGAAAAAGTGAACATTTTGTGATCTACAGCCCCAATATGTCCATGTGCAAGAGGCCTTAGAAGGATCCCCACCCCTTATTCCGGTAACAACTTAAACTGTATGTAAACTCTAACAACAAGTTTCCCATATTTGCTCCCTTTTTGGTCTGATAATTATACAATTGAATGTGTTTTATATCCAACAAATACAAAAAAAACAATAGCTGTTCAGACTGCTGTGAGCTGAGGATTTCCTGTGCTCTGTGCCTCTGAACTGTTATCAGGCAGCTTTATCTCCAGTGACTACAAAACGCCTCTCCTCCCTGTTATGAAGAAGAGAGGGGGGTGTTCTGTAGTTCTAACACGCTCCCTATCCTGTGGTGACAACAGTGCTCAGTACGGTTGTCACCCCAAGACAGGAAGTGTGTAATGGCAGGATTATCAGGTTATAGTAAAGGAAAAAGTGAAGAAGAAACTAGGGTAGCCACCATATCTAAGGAATGGTAAGCTGAAATACTATCAATTTTTGTCCTTGGGTTTAGATACACTTTAGCCGCCATGGATGTATGCTATACATTGGCAGCAGCGAGGTGTTTCATGCACATTACAACAGCCACAAGTGTTTGTAAATCTGAGAAGCCAGCTGACAGGCGGAAGCAATCGGATAGATTTCTCACACTCCTCGTACATTCATCTTCCTGATCCCTGGTCATGTTTCCTGGCTTCTGTGTTCTTATCTGGGAAATCAGTGTCCAAGCAGATTGGGTGCCACTGGATAGAGAGGAACCTAGTAAGAACCTGGAAGGGGTATGCATTACGTCACTACCAGTTTCTGCTGTCACTTTTCCTGGCTGCTGTAGCCGGAGAAGAAGCTAATGAATCACAATCTTTGCTCCATCAGCTTCTGCATTCTCTGTGGTTTACTCTGCATGTACAGAAAACACTGTGATCTGCTAGACATGCATTCAGCTCCGATTCCCTATTGTGGGCTGACGTGCGCAGTGTGGTGTCGGCCTTTCCCAGTGTCTTTTGATAAAGTACTCCACCACTCCCAGGGGTGTGGAAATTTTTTTTAAAAAACTACTTGTTCAGGGACTAAATCGGGGGCCCCAATCTACTTGTCCCTCATGACAATCTACTTGTCCTGATAACAAAAAAAATCAATTTTAACTAAAACCGTATTTAAATCTGAGGTGCTGTTAGGAATGTGTGGGACTTTTAAAATCAAAAGGGGGCGACTTAAATGTTTAATATTTTTAACATTGCGCTGTTTATCTCCTCCTCCCCCTCCCTGCCTCTTTCCAGCACCGCACCCGGGAACTAGCAGGGAAGGGAGAGACCTTGCAGTGTAATGAGCACCGATTGGGTGCTTGTCAGGAAAGGGAAGTGTCGGGCTTATCTTTATTACTTTCTCTGCCAGAGATATTTTAGTGGTTTTTGCACACGTTTAAAAAATAATTTTAGGTTTGAAGATTACACAAAACCCCCAAACATAAAAAAAATTTATTGAAACTTCAGTACCCTATATTTTCTATAGGCGACTGTTTTACCGCCCCTTATAGGTCATCAGTATAGTGTTACGGAAGAGATCTTAGTAGATACTAGAATTATTGCTCTCATTCTGATGTGTGCGGCGATATTTAACGTTTATCACAATGAACATTTTCATGCGTAGGTGCCCAAGCGCGTGCTTTTACTTTTGTACATGCGTATATGTGGGGGTGGCCTCACTTTTTTTTTTTTAATGATGGAATGTTATGTGCTTGGGTGCAACTTTGATATTTTTTTTTACTATTTAAAAAAAAATTTTTTACTTTTTTTTTTTTTTTTTTTTTTATCACATAGGGGACAAAAAGTCCCCATGGGATGATTGTTTGATGACAGGTTCTCTGTAATGAAACATGCTGGGTCTTTGCATGTCTCCGCTGTGCTACACTGAATGTAATGCAGTGTACATCAACTACATGTCCCAGGCGTCGGGCGATACAAATGCAACATCCCTGACTCCCACCCTCAGATCTTGACAACAATAAGGTCCAGTTATTCTGTAGTTCAATATAGCAACTAGAAAGGCTGTTTGAAATTACACAGGGAGTGGGCAGAAAATAAACAAGACAGGTCTGTGTGCGTGTGTTTCTTTTCTCTCTCTATCTATATATGAGACAGAGATCTCTCAAAATGCTTGCAATGATTTACTATACAGACCAAATGGGAACAAATAGGAGAAGTTCATTGTTGGGATTTTAATGACAGAAATTTCCTTTAAAGCATAGTCCGCCTTTTTAAAACGTTAAATGCAGCAACAAGAGAACAAAAAAATTGCACATTTATGACGTTTTTGGATTGATGCTTGCAGAGCATTGCAATAGCAATCAGTGTAGTACGGGTGCACTTTTTATGTTTTTTTTTTTTCTCCCAAGCTTTAGGTCTGTATGGAGGTACAGGCCTTTTGGTTCATAGCTGGTAAAAAAAAATGGTGGACTACATTGTGCTGATGTCACCACATTTGTGCCTTGTGAATTGATGACACCATGCACAGTCACACATAATTACAAATATTACAGGATGCTGCAGGGAGAAACACCCCAAGATTAAGATAAGTGAACAGAGGAGGTTGGTTGAGGAACATGACCATGCTTTGTTACACCCATAAATATGGTTGTAACATGAAACATGGGGCAAAAGGTGGACTGTGCCTTTAATTGTGGTCACACCGTTGTCTGTTAAAGATTTCTATGAAAACTGTCAAAATTGCAGGCATCAAACACAACTGAACATGCATTTTATTACCTTTTTAGGCTATGTCAGTGATCGGAGACAGACGATCCAGAGAACAAAAAGCCAAGCAAGAAAGGTCAGTTTGTCCTGCTTCACCTATTTTCCCATAGTGTCTCAGAATTCTCAGGATTATCATCAAGGGCCAACAAGCTGTTTTTGTTGACTACAACTTTATTCTAGGACTTTTTATATAAAAGTTTAAAGATTAAATATAAATTAAAGGATAAGTTCACATTTATCAAAAAATAATACATGCACATTTTTTTGCAGATAAAAAATTGTGTATTTACTATTTTTTTTTTTGTTTCTTTCTGGAGCCTGTAAACCAGGGGTCCTCAAACTTTTTAAACTGGGCCAGTTAACGGACCTTCACACAGTTGGGGAGCGGACTATAGTTTTAAAAAAATATTAACAAATTCCTATGCGCACTGCACATATCTTAAATGTAGTGCAAAAAAACAGGAAAAAACAATACAATATTTAAAATGCACTGGACACCGCAATGCACTGTACCTGGTGCCTGATGTGCTCTCCCCCCCCTCCTGTTGCTCCTCTGGCTGCAGCAGGTGAAATCAGGGGCTTCCAGGCTGCCGCTCGCTGGGTCCTTGAGGCCAAGGACCCGGTGAGCAGCCTAGCTATTTGTCAGTCGGTTTTTTGGGGGTTTTTTTTTTTTTTTTTTTTTATTTCCCTGGCAGGCCGGATTAAAAGCTTTGCTGGGCGTATCCGGCCCGCTGGCCATAATTTGAGGACCCCTGCTCTAAAACTGGTGCTATGTAGGTCTCCTGCAGACCTGTCAGTGTATCCATGTGCCATTGTACGGGCAAGCAGATACTGTTACATTAAGACTCAATGAACTAACACAGCGCTCCAGATTTTTTATTTGCAGAATACTGTGCATGAGTGACACAGCTGGGTGGGTGGAGCCCTGCATGGCCAGGTTATTTTTAAAATTTGTGACAGCTAGCGGGGGGAGAAGATTCCCCGCTAGCTGTCACAACGGGGGATCGGAGGAGTGCGGGGGTCAGTCTGTTTGTAATGTGTTACATGTTATACCCTGAATATCAGTCTACCATGTTACGAAAGGTGAACTTATCTTTTAAAATCTTTAGAAGTTTGATTTTCTTTTAATAACTAAATTTAGTCTGAGCTTTTTATTAAAGGGTTATAGGTTAGGAAATAGGTGGAGTCTGGTGGCGAATCTGAATCATACTGGGACTTATTCCTGAAAAACGGATAGGAGAACTGCAGTAATTGTGCAGCTGCTGCTGATACAAAAAAAAAAAAAAAATCTAGCACCATATTTCATTTCATTTTTTCTGATGGTCAACAGTTTGTGTTGGATAGAGTGGGGAAGTGTGATGATTCTGTTTCTTTGTCTACACTGGGATGATTGACACCCCCACCCCCCAACCACCACCCCATTCACACTGGAGGACCATTGTCCTTGCGAAAGAAAGGAAGTATATGAGTACCTGAAATAAATAATAAAATAAATAAAAGGAAATCCAAAATTTTTGCGTTCCCAGAACTAGAAGTGAAAGGAAATCTTTCAATACCAACACCTGTTCCAGGCACCACTATCTAAAAAGGCAGTTCCCCTCTTTTGGGTATTTCCTATTGTTTGTCTGGAACAGAAAGTGAAGGCAGATTCCCTAATATAACACAGACGGCAAAAAATAAATTGCTAGAGGTTTTAACCCATCCTTTCTGAAAAAAACAAGATTGGCCTATACATACATTTTAAGGGGACTATTTATGAAAAGATTTGCTGTGCAAATACATCAGCAGCATTTGTACAGCTGTCATGAGTAATCTCTGTAATACATCTAATATGTATATTTCTTATTATCAGTTGCATGTAGTGGCAATACCGCATTATTTCCAATAAATGGAGCTGATGATCATAGGAAATATACATTTTAGACCCCGTACAGGGATCATTCTATTTCTAAACCTATAGACTCTAATGGCTTCTGAGCTCTTCATAGGTTTTAAATGCTGGAAACTGAAGATCCTGAGATGCTTAGTGACAGGAATCATTTACATAACACCAATTTTTGGGGCTATTGGCATGCAAGTGCTAGTGTTATTACATCTAGATAGGTTAAAACTGAAAACCTGACCTCCTCTTTTTAGATTTTACCTATATTAGACTTTTTTTTTTTTTTTTTTTTTTTTTTTTTTTAGAGAAAAGGAACTTGCCAAAGTCACAATCAAGAAGGAAGATGTGGAGCTTATTGTGAGTATCAATTTCATTGTGATCTGTACATCGTTCAATAGAGACTTGAAAAATGTTAAATGTGAGATTCTTCTGAAAGTCAGATTTGCATGGCTTTTTTTTTCTTTTTGATCTTTATATAACGCATATAATGCCTTTTTTATATAGGCATCCTTCTCACGGCCGTTTAACTGTATGCACTGGATTCCAGCAGCAAGAATCGACACTCTTGCTGCTGGAATGACAGGTGCATGCGAATAGCAACGGCTGGTATGATTTCCGAGTATGGACACAGCTGACTGCATCTAGGCTCAGATATTCCTCCCTAACTGCAGGTTAACCCCATAGTGTGCAGCTTCATGCGAACAGCGACCACTGACAAATGGTCATTAGAATCCTCTGCTATCCAGGGTATGTAGCTAAACAGCCCTGTGAAGGAGTCGTAACAATATGAAAGCATACAGTACATGGCATTGCTGATTTTGTGTACGCTCACACGATTGTGAAATTGGAAAATAAATTGATCCGAATCCTAAAACAAACAAACAATATTGGAAGAATGAGAACCGCACACCGATTTGCTGTCCTGTATGGGTGTTTTTTTTTTTTTTTCTCAATTCTTTATAAAATTTTCACTGTACAGAAAAAAAAAACACACAAAATGTCTCACACAACAGGTTTGGTTTGAAGCTCTTCAAGTACAAGGATAATCTCAGTGCTGCAGCTGCATACACAAGATTTTGTGCAGTATAAACACTGACAGGGAAAACAATGTCTACGAGGGATGAGAGCACTGCCAAGTAAAAGCTGAACTAGCTGGGAAAAATGGTTAGGAGGTAACCACTGTGGATACTAATTGGAAAGATTCCGTTTACCCACGGGCTACCGCCTCCACCATCCTGAGGTATCACAGTGAACACATACAATAGAACCAAAGTGTGTATGTAAAATAAAAGGACGAAAGGGAAAGAAAGCTAGAGGGGGATGAAAGAAAGGTGGTTGTGACCATCGGTGTCTCCACCTTTTGGCATCAAAGATGAGTGGTCGGCTTAATGATCAAAAGTGGCCCATCAGATCAGGCTTGAGAGCTGAGTTAGAGACCAGGAACACCGGTTCCATCAAATTGAACACTTAAGCAACAAATGAAAAGGTCCCAAATGTCCAGCAATGATAGAATGACTCATCAGTGGCAATATGGTTGGTTGAGTTTGCAGAATTTGTAAAGACATCCTCAGAGACATCCCCACCCTAAGTCACCAAAGGAGGCAGAGGATCCAAGGAGTTACCAGGGTAGAGATCTGAACTCATCCGGCTTCCCTTCCCTTCCACCAAGGCCCACATCTGAGCAACCACTACTATAGGAAATACTAGTGTGTGTGATGGGGACACTACATGTGACCCTGTTTCAGTGGCCAGTTGGTGTGAACCCCCAGAATAGGGAGCCGGTGCTGTGAGGACACCCTTGGAAATGCGCAGACTGGTCAAACCAATTTTCTCTGGTTGTGCTGAACCGCCATAACATATAAATAAAGCCGGGGGAAGCAAGAGGCCAACCAGAAGCATGTCACCAAGCAATGCCCCCACCCCGAGCTGTGAGGCATACAGAAGCCACCAAACAATTTTATATATCAAGAATCTACTTTTATAAGAGACAAAATAAAAATTTGTGGCAAGCCATAACACTTTAATATTCATAGAAGTTCCTTAAGGAGGCCCACCTATACAGTCCACCTTTAAATAAACAAAGGGAGAAGCCACCAGGCCACTCCTGTGCTCCTACTAAGAAGCAACATAACCCCAAAAGAGGTCCAACGGTTGTATCAGATCCAGCCTCAGCTAGGCTTAGCCAGGCTGCTTTCACACTAAACCATTTTTCTTCTGCTTTTGAGTTAAAAATAGCGGAAAAGGGCAAAAAAAAGGTGTGACCATGTACGCCTGTGGAACTCTTCACACTGATCCATTGCAGGTCTGGCATTTTTCAAAGCCCTGTTTGTTGCATTGTTGGTGCAGGTTTGGTACAATAAGAAAAATGCATGGAAAACGTGGCAAAAAAGCACCCGTGGTGTGGTTTTTGAGTCACTTGTCATCATGTAGATCTATAAATACAGGCAGCTGACATTATATGCGAATTTCAACTTTTCTTGTAAAAACTGCCCCACCTGTTCTTTCAAAATATAGATGTGTGTTTTTAGGAGTGATGGACCTCCAAAAAACGCATAAGCATTTTGTCCACCAATAGGGTCCAGTGCTATTACAACAGGTGGGTCAGTTTTTACAAGAAAAGTTTAAATTTGCATATAATGTCAGCTGCTTGTATCTATGGATCTATTGATCTTTATGTGTCGCTATCACTGCCCAGCTTTGTGACAGGTTTACTTTGAAAAAGAAAATAGAGGGATAAGGCAGTGCAGATAAGTAGCATTTATCCAAAATACCTCGCTTGCTGTCCCAGTCCTTCTGTCCTCCTGTTTTTTTTCTATAACAGTCATAGATCCATATGGCATAACCGTTTACAACTGTCCTATTAGAGTATAACTAAAGACAAAACTTTTTTTCGTTTTGGATAGATTAGAGAGGAATTAGGAAGTCTGTCTGGTTTTTAGAGCTGTTTTGTGTCCTTGGGAGATTCAGCCCCTCGTTTGGTCCTGTTTGCTGTTATTGCCAGTTCTGGTGGCCGCGCTGACAACCATGTATTACCCTTGCTTTTGGAGGAATTTTCTCTTCCTGTTTATGCTGTAGGATGGTGTAGTGAAGGGAAATCTCCACAATGGGACACAGATGGCAAAAAACAATTTACAGGGGTTATAACCATCCCTTAGGACCGGTTCACACCATGCCTGCACAGGAATGAGTTGTGTGTTCCTGTGTGATTAACATGTGGTTCTGCGTGATGCAATTTCAGCCCAAAATGGGGAAAAAAAAGTTTTGGCTTTAGTTCCTCTTTAACAGTAATTTTCAAGAAAATCAACATTCTCCTATTTGAGTGTTTAGGAACATGAAGGGGTCCCTATGGCCTTCAGTCACACTGCTGATTGCATTACTTGGCAGACGGGAATCCAATAAGTAAAATCCAGGGGTTCCTATGGAGTTGATACAAGAAAACCAGATTTATCAGTTCCGAAAGCGAAACTTGTAATTCCTACGCGCTTGTTCTCGAGAAAACCTTAGAGCTGGTTGGGGAATAGTTCATAAAGTAGTATAAGGCTTGGTTCACACTAGTGCGGGTAGAAGTCCCTGTGGGACCCGCACTTCGTCCCGCAGCTGCAACCACCCACACACAATGCGGGACCCACAGGAGGATGCCATTAATCTTAATGGCACGTCGCCCGCATTGTAGTGCAGTTCCCAGTGTGGGCTGCGATTTCTGGAAAGGTGCAAGGGACCTTTACCCTGCATCTTGCGAGCATGGCAGCCCATCCATATGAATAGGTTTCCGTGCCGTGGCCCGCAAACGAGGCTAAAAGTAGATTTACACGTAATCACCTGAAATCACTTTTGGGGGAATGAAGAGTCCTGCTGGTGATCACATGGCTGAACATTTGGTTTTAAAAGCAAAATCTTCCATATTTTAGTCATTTAAGGGCTTGTTCACATGTGCAGTGTTCTCTGAAGAGTGCTGTGCAGTAGTTTGGCATTTACGGGATTAAAATAGGTGGTCAACGCAGATCAGTCATGTGCATTCCGTGCAGTTTTGGGCAGGTTGCAGTGTGGCCGCCATAGATTTCTGTTCGACAGGTGTAAGAACACTCCAAATGCGACATGCTGTTTAAATTTTGCCGCACCGTGCGTATAGCCCTTAGCGGCTGCATGGCCAGGTTCAGGCAGGCAGTAAAAAGTTCAGCTAAACCACCTGCTTTTACCCACTAGCTGCACTTGTGAATGAAGCCAAAGTTATATGCATGGGTAAGGCCTAGCTCATACTTGCCTCCTGTTTATACTATACTTCCAGCCGCTCCCCCATAAGCTGCAAAGGCGTTGGAGGGTGTTTGTATGTCGAGATGCAAAGGAAAAAATTAGTGCCCACTGCCATGTTTGGTGGGCAGTATCGATTACTGTATGTGACCCATTTAACTTCATGACATCGTCAATATTCAAATATCAAATATTTCCCGGAATAAGATCAAAAGTAATGGGTGCTGCAGCAACCGCCATCTGTAGACTACACTGTTGTGCGCATGTTCCAAATATCTGCCAGCACACCACGGATCTTCAAAGTCTGAAGGGCTATTTATTGAAGAGAGATTACATCACAGCAAGAAAGTGCAATGTTTTGGAGCCGCGCTGGACCCCTTCATCAGGCATGTCAATAAAGAACCATTTGGACTTTAAAGAATCGTGCTGTGCTAGCAAATATTTACACCACTCAAATGAACGGGAGCACCCTGAAACTCTGCAGAAACAGGTGGTGAGAAAGCGATGAAACTTCACTGCCTGTGATTCAATGCAGATCACTCTTCAGAGGGTAATACTAAGGTAAACAAGGGCAAACTGTTCAGCTATGACTTGCATTATATTGCAGCGATGATTTAAGCTTCATTTTCTTCTTTCAGATGAATGAAATGGAAATTCCACGATCAGCAGCTGAACGGAGTTTGAGGGAACACATGGGAAATGTAGTAGAAGCTCTCATCGCTCTAACCAACTGAGTGAAATCAAATTTATTAAAGCTTCATCTCCCCTTATGGAAACCTGTGGAAGTGGGAGCAAGCCTGGATGGTGGACTTTTCATTATACCAGAGAGGGACAACATGGATGGATCTCCCTGATGATTGTGAAACTGCAAGTCCCAGCAAGCTCTGACATAGATGTGTTGGGACTTATAATTCCACAGCTGACAGAGATTCTTCACATAATACCATGTTGGTTAACAACACGTTTAACAAATGGACCAACTAATAGATGCATTGGGTCCTATTCAAGTGTTTATTACCATTTTTGAAACCCAAATAGCTGTGTTCAATAAGTTATTTTGAATAAAGGACAACTTTATTATGTCTGCTGTGTGATTCTTCGTGCATTTTCTTTTTTTTTTTTTTTTTTTTCTATTATTATCATGGACAGTGGGGAAAATAATTATTTGATCCCCTGCAGATTTTGTAATTTTGCCCACTTACAAAGAAATGAAGGGTCTATAATTTTAATCATAGATGTATTTTAAATGATGTAGACAGAATACCAACCAAAGATCCAGAAGAAACATGATACAAATGGTATAAATTGAGTTGCAGTTCAGTGAGTGACTTGGTGGAGAAAAACTCTTGTTGGCAAGCACAGAGGTCAGACGTTTCTTGTAGTTGGTTACCAGGTTTGCACACATCTCAGGAGGGATTTCGGTCCACTCTTCTTTACAGATCTTTTCTAAATACTTAAGGTTTTTTTTACTGTTGCCTGGCAAGTCGAAGTCTCAGCTCCCTCCATAAATTTTCTATAGGAAGATAAGGGCTGGAGACTGGCTAGGCCACTCCATGACCTTAATGTTCTTCTTGAGCCACTCCTTTGTTGCCTTGGCGGTATGTTTTGGGTCATTGTCATGCTAGAAGACCCATCTTCAGTGTTCTGGCTGAAGGAAGAAGGTTCTCATCCAAGATTTTAGATACATGGCCTCGTCAATGGCCCCTCCATGCGGCAAAGTCGGCCTGTACCTTTAGCATAGAAACAGCCCTAAAGCATAGTTTCCACCTCCATGTTTGACTGTAGGAATGGTGTTCTTGGGGTCACAGTCAGCATTTTTCTTCCTCCAAACACGGCGAGTCAAGTTAATGCCAAAGAGCTCAATTTTGGTCTCATCTGACCACAGTACTTTCTCCTAATACAGGTGTTCCATACATGTCAATTGAGATGCAGCAGCTGCATGGGCACTGCCACTGCTCCCAATTTGACATCTGTGTGGGTGCTGCTGCCGCCCCCAAACACACAGTATGAGTTCAGGGACATGCACCTGATAAAGCTGCTGATTATGACTCTGATGATGACCTTACAATAATAGGGGTCCCAGGTTCTACATACCAGATGGTTCCTTCTGGCGACACCTGGGAAATGTCCCTAGTACCGCTATGGGAGTATGGGTTGAGGTCCCCTGTGGAAGTGGGACAATACTGTCTTTACAAAGATATATTGCTTTCAGGCCCAGGTAATGCGAGTAGGCCCAATGGGAGGCAAGGCCTCTTGATAAATCCAGGGAGTTAAGGCTGATGAGGGTTAGTGGTGGCCAGAGGTAACTAGGTAATTGTAGGGAGGCAGTGGAAACAGACCAGACAGCTACTGTATGTTATGCTTCCTCTAGGCTGAATGGCAGAAAAGAAAACGCAGAGTGCATGGTGACAGCTCTTAACCTTTATTGTGGTAAAGTGGTGGTGGAAAATTTACATAGGGGCTCAGCCGTGCAAAGAGGTAGCTGTTACCACTTCAGCCCAACTTGCAGTGCTGTGTCTTAGGCGACAGGGCTAATCCTGGGACTGTGCTAGGGCTCTGGACCTAGAATAACAGTACAATCGGGTCTGGAAAACCCCACCATGAGGAGCCTAATGGTTGAAGGTCACATTCCAGGAAACATGCACATTAAAGCCAGCGGGGTCTAGGTACAGCCTCCAAAGCTAGTGCTAAGAAAAAAAACAATCAGGATGCCTGCTATATACAAATCAGCTCAAGCAGTGTAGTTGTAATTGTGGAGTAGTGGATTTTGTGTTCCAGAGGGAAAAAAAAAGAGGCTAGCAAAACAGACTTTACACAGCAGAGCTGAGGAAAGGGCACCATCCTTGGACACTAGCAAAAAATGGGGTATACTGGGTAGAGAGGTTATGACGGTTGGGGTACAATGTTTTTGTTTAGAGGTCAATATTTTTTACAATTAATGTTTTTGTTTGCCAGCGTTAAATCCTCCTTTAGGTAACGGTATAACCCGACTCTATCTAAATTCCTATATGCCTCAATGGGCGATAAAGAAAATAGTCTCAGATATCCCCCATTCTGTCAGCATCTGCATTTTAAGTTCTATTGGAAGCCTGGAAATGAGAAGAGGACCTTATGAGAGAAGGTTTAGCCAGACCAGAAGACAAGGAAAATCTATGAATAGGGTGATAAAAAACAGACTTGGAGACTATAGCTGAGAAATCCTGCTGTGCAAAACTTATCCTTGTTGGGGACAGAAATACCTTGGCAGTTCTACTTGTCCAGCAGAACTCTTGCAGACATAGCACTCCCAGCTAGTTGACCCAGTGTTCAGCCGTGCACCTTCCCCCCCAAGACCCCCCCCCCCGGAGTGTAGTACTGGTAGAATGACAGTCAATTTAAATTAGCGGTCTCCAAACTTTCTAAGCAAGGGGCCAGCTTACTGTCCTTAAGGATTTAGAGGGGCTGAACTGTGGTCAGTAGGAGTAGAAAATGCCCCGGCATCAGTTCCCCATCGTTTGTTTTAATGGGAGAAATAGTGACCCATTGGTGATATCAATGAGAATAATACCTCGATGGTATCAGCAGGGATAATGGTACTCCACTGATGTCAGTTGGTGGAATAGTGGCCCAAGGGCTGCATCCGACCCCGTTTGGAGCTCACCATTGTAAATGGCAGCACAGCACACACGCACTAGCAACCAAAAGACCCGCACAGCAACACATCACAATGCAACTGCATTGTAGAGCATTTCACGGACAAAGAAAATGGTCAAGCCCATTAAAGTGGTTCTAAAGGTTGATTTTTTTTATTTAACAATGCATTCTCTGCCTTAAGGTACAATCCTGTATGTAAGCCCCCCCCCCCCCCTTTTGCTTACCTGAGCCCGATCCAGCGCTGTGGTCGAGAGCAGAGGCTCTTTCCACACTCTCTTCATTGGACAGACAGTAGTGTTGCAGTCAAGCACTGCCAGTGAGGAGGGACACACAGTACAGCTCAGGCTTGAGCCCACACAAGTGCCCCCGTAGCAAATGGCTTGCTATTGGGGGGGGGTTAGGGGAGCAGGAGACTCAAGAAGAGGAGGATGCAAAACCATTACACAGATCAGGTAAATTTGATGCATTTATTAAAAAAAAAAAAAAAGTATCCTTTACAATCACTTTAAGGAAATTGGCTTAATAAATGCTACTATAGAAGTTTTGCCTGTAGAAGCAGCTCACTGTTATCCTACATGTCCATGCATTAGAACCGTTTAGAGGCAGAAAGAAGAAACCCTTCTCGTTTGTGGTTTTTGAGGCGTTTTCTACAGAATATAATACTGACTGCTCCAAAAGGCCCATACAAACTATCTTTTTTTTTTTTTTATTAGTTAAACTCAGCAGGCTGAACGGAAAAAAAAAAAAACAAAAACAAAGGCAGATCACTGTACTAACACAAGCGGTCTCCCCCACTGTGCTATTGTGTTCTGACAGGACTGCCCTCCACCACCAGAACACACCAGTCAGCACTCTAGGCCATTGACTGGGAGCGCTGATTGAAAGCCGATCGGCAGACCTTTTTTGGTCATGCTCCTTTGGCAGAAGGGTGAGCTGCTGTACACACACAGGCCAGATTCTGTTGAACCGGCTGATTCCGTCCCATATTCGGCCAGTGTGTATGGGGCTTTTTTTGTGCCTAAACTGGTGTACAAAAATGCTCTTGCGTTTTGTGGGTTTTTTTTTTTTTTTTTTTTTAATTATTTAAGCCCAGTGTGCATGGACCCTGAAAATCAAGTTGCTGCCTTAACACAACATATTAACACACTGCGTATGTGTAGACCAGTGGTCCCTAAACTTTGGCCCTTTGGGCACTATTCCTCCCGCTGACACCATCACTGGAGCACTATTCTTTCTATTGCTACCAACAGTGGGAATTCCTTCCATTTAAACCAATGCTTAGAAAGTTTGGTGTAGACTATGTGGGAGGAATGACCTTCATGGGTTACCTAACATTTTTAGTCAATAAAATGAGTAATTGTTTAATCAGTACATATTTCTGCTTTACTGCATCAGTTAATTACTAATGCCATACAACTTTATTACTTATGGTTTAGGACATATTACTTTGATTTTCTTTTGGAACTTTAAATAAAAGCTGCATAGAAGACAATTTTACTTTTGCGCACATCAGAGCAGTCTCACACATGGACACAAGAAAACCTATGAAGCTAGCCACACAAATTACAATCTGACCATACAATCTGTTAGATGTCCCAATTAGGTAGACCCTTACACTAAACGGTTAATAATTCAGCATGTTACGTTTGTCCCGCTTTACAAGTGCTTTGAAAACACTTTTTATGAAAGGGGGGGACATTTTGTAATGTAACATTTCATTGACAAATTTGATCTGTATCTCGGCTTTTCCTTCCATTAATAAAACCCCAACGTAAGCCTTCTTCACATGTTTTATACTAATTTTCTGTTTAGAAACATGTAAATGTTATGTTTGTCTGAAGAGAACATGTGTAGCATAACTGTGCAGTGTTCCTCATTCTCAAACATAGCTGGGTCTTGAATGAAAAGACCCTAGGAAATCAGCCACTTTGTAAAAGGTGCTGGAATACAATGAGTTAAAAACATTCAAGCCATATGCCACCTTGTGGACTCCTTTATTTAAAGTTTGCAGTTTTACAGAGTGCTGGGAGTACAGCTATCACTATACTTCAGCTGCTCCTCTTCTCCACTTGCCCAGTCACATAGCTCTTGTTAATGGGGTCACATAATTCAAAAAACAAAGTATTCTGTGAATGGACCACAAAGGGGAGTGGTGGGAAAGCAGCTGCTGTGAGAAAAAGCAGCATCCCTCCCCTCAGATCACCAGGAGTATAGCAAAAGCTGTACTCCCATTTCCCAACAAAAATGTAAACTGTACAACAGATAAGTCCATGACGTGTAAACGTAATGCTTTAGCCCTGTCAAACTGGTCACCATTTTCCTGCATTAACCACTTCCAGTCCGGACACTTTTACCCCCTTCCTGTCCAGGCCAATTTTCAGCTTTCACACTTTGAATAACAATTGCGCGGTCATGCAACACTGTACCCATATGAATGTTTTAGCATTTTTTTTGCGACAGAAAGCTTTATTTTGGTGGTATTTATTCACCATTGGGATTTTTTTTTTTTTGCTATGTAAATGAAAGTCCAAAAATATTTAAAAGTGTTTTTCTTATAAAATTGTGCAAATAAATAATATTTCATCATAAATCTTGGCCAAAATTTATTGTTATCTTTTTAGTTAAAAAAACAAAACAAAAATTAGTTTATAACCAAAATTATAATTTTTAAACATTTTTTTTAAAATTTTTTTTTTTTTTTTTTACATACGGTCACCCTAGCTGTACAGTGGCACCATGGTGACACTGTACTACTTGTGGGGGGTGATGAACATTTTTTTTTTTTTTTTTTACACTGATTAATTTTACACCCATAAAGGCTGTAAAAGCAATCATTCCTCCTCTCTCTAGCTGCATTCTTGCAGCCATTGAGAAGTACTGAGTGAGCTGTGATTGGTCACAGCTTGTCACATGGTACAAGGCTGTTGTGAATAGCCTTGTACCATATTTCACACGTAGTAAGCAATGATGTCACAAGTGACATCATTGCTTACTACTCTGCATGTGATCACTGATTGGCCAATCAGTGATCACATGATCGGGACCTCGCACAGAGATCCCGTACGACGATCGGTGTTCCACTGTGTCCGGAGGACACAGCGGGCACCGGATTGCGGTGCTGCGCGCTCCCAGTGAGCGCGCACAAGCAGGGTGCGGGGTGGCCGTTTATAAACGGCCACCCGACCCTGCACTGCCACCGTCCGGCCATTTATATACAATGGCCAGACGGGATGTGGTTAAAGACATCTTCCCTATGGTCCCACAACAGCTTGCCAGTTGGAGCCCTGAGAGATACTCAGTACTTCTGGGTACAGAAGGGTATTACGCTTATGAGGTCATGCATTACCTGAGAAGCCTGATCCTCAAGTCTTAGCATTGTCACCATGGTGTGGTGGGGGGGGGGGGGGGGGGGGGGGAATTTCATTCAGAGCTCCAGTAGGAAGGGAAAGGCAAATAGCTGCAGAAGGGATAGACTTACAATTGAATCTTTTACTTTGGCCTGAATAAACAAAGTGTACCTGTCACAAAAAAAGTACCTTTGGCCAGAAGACCACAATTAGCCACCAACCATCGTTCTAAATTCCGTCAATACCAATTTGACAAATTCCTCAGAATCCTTAAAAGGCCAAAGTTCACCTATTATAAAAATAAATAAATGCACTTCTTTTTTGTGGGTGGCCAATGGTACTTGTAGTTCATTCATTCACAGAACTCTGAAAGAATGACAAGGCCAAATCAGCAGAGCCCTGCCATTTTTAAATTCCATCAGTGGGTGAAGGGAGAGGATTCCCCGAAGCTGGTTTGAACATGTTCCACCCTAAATACGGGTGGACTGTGTAACATGTTCCAAAGGCAAACTTATCCTTTAAATCAAAACTATAGACTCCAGATAAGGGTCTGAAATCCTGGGTTCTACATGTCTTTACTACTAAAAACATTGTATTTCACTGACAAAGTGTCCCACCCCAGTTGTAAAGCATCCCAGACCTAGAAGACTGTATGTGATCAAGTAGTCCAAGCAATCTGAAACACCTAAATGCCTCATGTTTGACATTAAATTAACGAAAAGGCTGGACACATAAAACTAACCAAATATGTTTTAAGGTACAGAACATTGTGAATATTTACACAATTATCTTCATCGAAAAAGAAAGTTCTGAGATCTGAGAATTTCATACAAAAGAAAAAAAATATTTACATAAAATGATTTATCCCTGAATACGGGAAAATGATACAAAGTCCACAAATTGATCATCTAAGCTTTTCCTTTTCTTTACAGAAGGTCTCTCGAACACATCCCTCACACCAGCCGCCTTCTGCTTGAAGAACTTTGTATTCTGGGCGCTCTCCTGGCCCCACGCAGAATCAAATGACGTTGTGTCTTGATCCACCAAGTGAGTGTATTTTGTTCTACCAGAACGCCAAAGTTTTTGACCTGAAGACAGAGCACAGTATGAGCAAGTGTATCAGACAATGATTTTCCAAAGTTGAACTATTTAATGCATCTAAAAAGGTGGTCGGTCCATACAAAAAACACTGAGCTAGTGCTAATGTATTTCTAAATGTAATAATTGTTTTTGTATTTTAGGAGTAATTTAGGACTCTGAAATGTTTTGGAGTTTAGCTGATATACCCAAAAAGATCACCCCTACAGATCACTCCACCCCCCAGGCAGTAACAACCAGGGATGTATTCTTTCCACACTGTCCTCAAATAGTACAGCGGAATTTGTGTATATAAACAGAAAAGCACATCCACAACACAATGCTTGTGTACAAAAAAAAAAGTTACCTGCATGACTTTGGGTAGGATAGTTTTATTGAAGTGGTCTTCCAACGTGGGAGCACTGAAGTCTCTCTTATATACATCTTCATCTTCATCCTGTGGCGTGAAAAGAATTGTAAATTTCTATGTTCAAAAAAAAAAAAAAAAAAAAAAAAAACCCCACATATAACAAAAATAAAACACCATGCTTTTAATGTACCCTACATCACATTTCCTGGGTTTTCCAGTAACCCAAAAAAAACTTCCTCTATCTACCACAGCTCTGAACTACATATAGATCTTGCTCCCACTGCCTGAAGGCTCAGGAGAATTAACATGAAAAAATAAAATAAAATAAAAAAATAAAAAAAAAAAGTTTTATAAATACAATACACCCAGAATACTGTCCCTCCCCATGAGGAATACAGACAGACAATGGTAAAACAAATACCGGTATGTAAATATATTAAAGGAACTTTGGTTTGTGTTACTTGTCTAACCTTTTTAACCCCTTTATGCCCCAGTAACCCATATGTGCGGCAGCAAAAAGCTAGGCTTTAACACCCGCCTGCTGCACATTTGTGTTGTTGGGCAGGCAATGTTCATGTTCTAGGAGCACATTTCCTTCGCACTCCCAGCACAAAGATCAAGCTGCCAAAAAAGACACTTGGTCCCAAGAAAAAAAAAACAAAAAAAACAAAAAAAAAAAAAAAACAGTTAGTGGCACTGGCTTCTAATCAAGTGACCACTGTGACAGCCAATCACAGTAGTCACATAATCACTGATCCTCCCTGTTCCCCTGAGCGTTACAAACCTTTAAAAGGGAGGCGCCTGGGTTGGTGGGAAGGGGTTAAAGAGATGTTATACACATACATACACATATTGAAGGTAAATATTGTTGAGAGGACTTCTTTCCCATGTCAGAACAGAAGAAATCCTCTCTTAGGTCACATTCAGAGTGCCACTTTAGAATTTCAGATGACTTCTGCATTTAGAAAAGCTAAAACAACTTTTAGTGCCCGGTCACACTGCAAATCGAAATCGCACCTGAAATCACATCTAAGGAATGTGAATGTCAGTGTCTTAACATATACGATGTGCTGCAGTGCGATTTCTAAAGTAGTTAGTAGCATTACTTTTTCTGCAGTTTTGTTGCGATTTTTCACATACATAGAATATAATGGAAATCACTGCAAATTGCAACAAATTGTTGAAAATCTTCACAAGTAGCAATAAAGTTTTCAGAAATCGCACAATTTTAAATTGCAGCGGAGTGACCGCTGACTTATGGTCTCCAGATCACATTTTCCAGTGTTTAGATATTCCTGCTTTAACCCTTACGCTGCCAGAGCCGGGTTTTTTTTTTTTTTTTGCACTTTTTGCATACATGTTTAAAAAGTCATTTTAAGACTAAAGATTAAAAATCCTCAAAATTAGAAACACCCTGGAAAATAAAATGGTTGTAGTTACAATCTTTTAGGTCATATATCTTAGTGTAATGCTTTATCAAGCAAATAATTTGAGTAAAAATATTTCTAAAGCAAAACATTCTATGCAAAAACTTTATACATTCCCTTTTTGATGCAATTAGATTTACATTGAGAGGAGATAAGATTGTAGTGCAAGGTCTTCGGGGTATAAGTGTAGAATCATTTCTTACCATGAAGAAACTCCTCTGTGGTAGTATTTCTGTAAGAATTTGTATTTTCCTTTTAGTGCTTTGTTGGTTATTATCTTGCCATTGGCACGAAGTTCAGCGCGGCGCTCCTCTTCAGTCATGTTACGCATGCGTTCTATTTCTGCCTTCTCTTTCTCCATTCTAGTACATAAATAAAATGAAAGATTATTATACTTACAGAATTTTTGTTTATCATGAAAAATGTGTGTTGTTTGTAGGCACAATACTATATTAGAAAAGCATAACTAGAATATCAAACAGGAATCATTTTTACCTTAAAAAAAGAAGAACTTATGAGCTGTCCCTGCAAGGCACAGCAACAGTAATGCTTGCCCCCACCAGCAGAACAGGTTTGCTGTTCTCTGGATGCTCAGTTAAAGGATCAAGGTAAGTTCACCTTTAAAGCGGAGTTCCACTCAAAAGTGGAAGCTCTGCTTATTTGCCTGCCCCTCCACTGCTATATTTGGCACCTTTTGGGGGAGAGGGGGGAGTGGATACCGATTTTTCACCAGTACCCACTCCCACTTTTGGCTCAGTTCGCCACGGCGAAGTGAGCCGGAAGTTCAGCCCAGTCCACCCTCCTGCAAACTTTCACAAGTCCCAGAAGACTGCCAGACCAATTAGGCGCAGCACGGGTTGCGCATGCGCAGTGGACACCCGGCTGTGAAGCCGCAAGCTGTCACAGCCAGGTGCCCACAATAGAGATGCCAGCACCGTGGAGGAGAGAAGGGACGGCGCGGGTGAGAACACCGCTGGACTCCGGGACAAGTAAGTGTGTGTTTATTAAAAGTCAGCAGCTACAGTTTTTGTAGCTGCGGACTTTTAATAAACACAAAAATGGCTGGAACTCCGCTTTATATAAACATATTACACCCATATTTATGGTGCAAAATGTTACTAAATCACCTGCCGCTACCCCGACTTAATCCCCCAACGTGACAATGGGCAGGGGATCCTCTCCCCACATCCGCTGTCAAAACTCAAAAAACAGTGCGGCCACGCAGGGCTCCACCCACATGGCCACATAATTCATTCACAGTGATCTGTGAATGAATGAACTACAACCACTGTCTGCCATTGTGGCAGATAGCTTGTAGTGCTACATTAACTGCAAGGGTGCTGGAGAGTGCTCTCATAGTTCATTGATCATCCTGACTTTACTAACTGCCTGCCCGTATCAGTGGTACAGGCAGACGGCTATACTGGCAGTCTGCAGGAGCTTGACATTGCACCAACAGAACATTGCTGATTGCATGCGCAATGCTTTACAGGCTACCAAGAAAATAAAAATGCACCTTTTTTTTTTTTTTTACCTGCAAACAAATTTGCATTTTTTTTTTTTTTTTTTTTAAAAGGTGAACTTATCCTTTCAGCTGTTAGGAGGAAAGAAAAATACCCAGTGACTTGATTCCCCCTCACCCCAGCATATAAAAAAAGTCATCTTGTCCTTGCAAAACGAACTTCTTTGTGCAAAAGGGAAGGCAAATATAAGCAATATGGTGGTTGGTGAGAGATGGTATTATTGCTACAAACGTTTAAAGTCTATGTATGAGTAAACTATTTTCCTTTTTGTAGAAGAGTAGAAGACGGTTTACACACCTATCAAGCATTTATTTTTGCTGTCTGTCTTGTCACTTAGACAAAATGGTTATCAGGAAAAAAAATGGAATAAAAAACTTGGAAGAGAGTCTAATCCTTTCCCACTCAAAAAAAAAAAAAAAAAAAAAAAAACAAAAAAAAAAAAAAAAAAAAAAAAAAAAAAAAAACACACGTTTGCTCCTACATACTTTAAAACTCTGATTGGCCAAGGTAGAGAATAGGTGCAGATGGCGTTAGGTGCTTCATCTTGGCCAATCAGAGAATGTCTGGCATTCATTTATAAAAATACAAGGCTTTTTCTGAATGGATGAGATCATGTAGGGCTGACTCGGTTTGTTGCTAGGAAGGGAGGTCGATAGGACTCTGGCAGAATGACAACACAGCTTATGGCATATTACATCATCCACAGTAGGCAGACCATTCTGTAAAAGGTAAGCATTCCTTTGAACCAAGCTAGTCCAAATTAAAAAAAAAAAAAAAAAATTACAGGAAACATACGAGGAGCCCTGTCAAATGCACTGGGATTAGTTAACAGGGAAGACAAACTTATTACAAAAAATAACATTCCTGAAGCAGAATGCTAGTGTGCCTTAAACAAGCAAGAAAATACTAGTATCTCCTGTAATGAACTTAGGATAGTCCCATGAAAACATATAGAACATGCTGGTAAACATTGTAGACACTAAATTATTAAACATTTATAGTACACACTATGACAAAACAAAACAAAAAAAACACATACGCTTCTCTTTCTTCACGATCACGTTTAATGCGTTTCAGTTCTCGAACCTTCCAGGCTTCATATTCTTCCTCATCATTCTCATCATCTGTGTTCAGGGCATCCAGAGCTGCCAGAGTCCTCTTGTTCTCCTCTATTTCTTTCTTTGTCTCCTCCTCTACAATCTGCAAGACAGGAGAAAATGAAGGAAGCAAATCTTAGCTACACAGGTGATTGTTTACATTTATCATTAGCATCACATAGATTTCACTGTACTGCATGACATGACTGCCAACAAGCAGGTAAATCTCGGAGAATAGCGGAGAGATGCAACCACTAATGTAAATCCAGCTTTAACCACTTCCTGTACACGGGAGCGCTGCCGATGCGGGTGGATGTTTCTAAACGTCCCCCTGCATTCTTTGCCTGTGGGCGCTCCCTGGGAGGTCAAAGCACCACAATCAGTGCCCGCAGTGCTCTTTGGACACAGTGGAACACCGATCGCTGTAAGGGACCTATATCCGAGGTCCCGATTCATGTGATCACTGATTGACCAATCAGTGATCACATGAATAGTAATAAATATGATGTCACTCCTGACATCATTGCTTACTACTTGTGAAATCTGTGAATGATCACAGAGGTCACATGGTACAAGGCTATTCACAAAAGCCTTGTACCATGTGACAAGCTGTGACCAATCAAAGCTCTCACAGTATTTCTCAATGACTGCAAGAATGCAGCCAGAGCGCAGAAATTATTGCTTTTACAGCCTTTATGGATGTAACAGCAATCAATGTAAAAAAAAACAAAAAAAAAAAAATCATCACCCCCCCACAAGTAGTACAGTGTCATTATGGTGACACTGTACTACTAGGGTGACAGAATTAAAAAAAAAAAATATATATATACATATATATATAAAAAAAAAAAATGTTTTTGGAAAAATTTTAATAATTTTTGGTTATAAACTAATTTGGGTTACTTTTTTTTTTTTTTTTAATAAAAAGATAGCTGAATACATTTTGGCCAAGATTTATGAAGAAAGATTATTTGCAAAATTTTATAAGAAAAACACTTATTAATTTTTTTTGGACTTTTTCGTTTATATAGCAAAAAAATAAAAATCCCAGTGGTGAATAAATACCACCAAAAAAAAGTTTTAACTGTCTCAAAAAAATGCTAAAAAATCCATATGGGTACAGTGTTGCATGACCGCGCAGTTGTCATTCAAAGTGTGATAGCGCTGAAAGCTAAAAAATGGCCTGGACTGGAAGGGGGTGAACGTGTCCGGACTTGAACTGGTTAAAATAGAATTCCATTCCAAGCTGGCCCAAACAAACTATTTCCATTACATTTTACTACTGTAATATATGGTAGTAGCCTTAGCTACATACAATGTGTGGTGCTCTGTTACGGCAACAGTATGGGCAACTTCCTATCTGCCGAAACTGAACAGAGTCAGGCTGAATGCTTCTCCGCCATTTAGGATAATCCTGTGGCCCAAATGAGCTATTTAAAGTCATATTAAACCTGGAATTCTACTTTACCATCAAGCAGACAGACATACAGATCTGTTGCATATTGTTACCTTTAAGGTGTATTTACGTCTTTCCTCTGCCATCCGCTTAGCTTCAACCTCCAACTCCTTCTGTTTCTGGGCTTCAGCTTCTCTTTCTTGAACGGTTACTCTATCCTTCCTGAAAAAGTGGATGTGTTCAATAACCCAAATAAAAGTGGTTTTTAAAACATCTGTGCTTCTCTTTGCGCTACGTTATCCTACTTTATATGTGGATCATTATATAAGCCACTCCAACATCAGAGATCATTCACACATGTACATGGACACAAGACCTACTCTATGTGCATTCCTTACTGGCTGGTAAAGCTTGTGTACATGGCAGGGTCAGTGCTTCCAGGTAAAGAAGAACACTAAGGGCCTTTTCACACTAGAATGAAGTTTAGGACACCCCAAATGCTGGTCACAAGCGCAGTGCGTTTCCCCGCACCGGATTTCATGGTACTTTTGAACTGGTTGCCGTGCGTTTCAAAAAGTAGTGCATGCACTACTTTTGGTGCACTGTTAAAATGAATGGAGCTGAAATTGCACTGCATAGAACTGTATGTGAATCGCAGATACATGCAGTTCCTAGTGTGAATGGGCTCTAAAAGCTGGGGCAAGGAAATAGGCTCCATTGGCTTCAAATTGAGCTTTTAGCATAAACCAAATTGGGCTTTAAGATTCAAGTTAAAAAGGACTACTAGGGTAGTGACTGAAGGTGCAAATTCCAGGGCTGTCTCATTCCTATGCTTACTGCACCATTTATAAGGTCATTAGCCCAAGACAAGCGTAATCATACTAGGTGGGTCATGGACTTCCTAAGTAGTAAGAGGAGGTCACAGCAGAATAATTCAGTAGTGGCAGCTCCCAAACTGGAGACCTGACAGATTTCCATACTTTAACCGATTGCCCGCCACCCTATGGTAGAAATACTGCTACAGGGCAGCAGGGCTGCGTAAAATCATGTATATATACACATGATTTGCATTTCCGGTAGGGCGCGGGCAAGCACATGTGCGCCACCCTACCCGTGCCGCTATTGGCAGCTAGGAATCTCAATCACCGGGTCCCAGCCGGCGATTCCCAGCTGGCACTCGTCGGGGAAAACTGACAGGGAACAGACCTGTATGTAAACAACACAGGTCTCTCTCCTGTCAGAAAGGACATGCTGCTTTGTATTTCTCTGCAAAGCAGAGCAATAAAAAACAAAACAAAAAAACAAGTAGTAAAACACAGCACACAGTTAACCCTTTGATTGCCCCAGATGTTAACCCCTTCCTGCTCAGTGTCAGTCAGTTCCCAATCAGTGTCAGAATGCCCGCCACAGTCCTGCAATAAGTCATTGATTACTGCCATTACTAGTATAAATAAAAATAAACAAAAAAAGCATATATACCGCCATTGGTAGATGCTATGACTTTCACGTAAACCAATTAATTTACACAGATTGGGATTTTTTTTTTTTTTTTTTTTTTTTAGCAAAGACATGTAGCAGAATACATTTTGGCCTAAATTTATAAAGAAATTTGATTTTTAAAATTTTTTTATTGTATATTGTGTATAGCAAAAAGTCAATATTTCTTTTTTTCAATATTGTCAGCCTTTTTTTGTCTATAGCACAAAAAAAAACAAACACAGAGGTGATCAAATACCACCAAAAGAAAGCTGTATTTTTGGGGAAAAAAGGACATAAAATTAATTTATGTACAACTTTGAATGACTGAGCAATTGTCAGTTAAAATAACGCAGATTGCAAAATGGCCTGGTCAAGAAGAAGGGGGGGGGGGGGGGGGTAAATCCTCTGGAGGGCAAGTGGTTACACAGAACATTCAAAGAGATGAATGACCTATTACATGTAGAGGCGACTAGCTATATATATGGTTTTAAGAAATAACTGAAGCATTGCCAAGTTTGTAATATGAGGCGTTATATGACATATCTGGTCCCGGATGTTATCACCTGCATCACTGGGTTTTATTTTACTATGGAAAGTGCCTGGTACCCCCCTCACTTACTTCCTAATGTATACTGGTTTAAGTTTTGGTTCCGGTTCATCTTCACTATCTGTGTATTCTTCATATTCAGATACCATCTCTTCCTCAGACTTCCATTCATCCTCTACCTCCAACACTTCCATTTCTTCATTTTTCCTTTCCTGGGCTTTTAACCGCATCATAGAACGCCGACGCTCAATTTCCTGGAAAAAAAGAATACAAGCGTGAAGATGAGCCAAAATCATGAATCAAGAGTTGTAGAAGTATCCATCTATATCACTTGTTTATATGGTGCCAACCTATTCTTCAGCACTGTACAGAAAACAATCATTCTCATCAATCCCAAAAGGGACTTACAATTCAATAGTGTTACCAAAGTCAGACAGATACACACATACTAAGGTCAGTCTAATGTATGCCAATTATTCCACCACTCAGTTTCAGTTTCTTATGAGTAAAACAGATTAAGAGGAAACTTTGAAAAATGCAGTGATAATCTACACTCTCAGCATAAGAGCAGGGCAACTAGCATTGTCAAAAGATCATTGATGGTAACGCCCATGTTTCTGCCTGGTTTACTTTAAAAATCACAAAGTTGCAGAATGTGATCCTCGTTCCGACTATATGTTCACTAAATTCAGGCAGAAGTTATGCATATCTGCATCTTCCCGCTGAGCGTACTCAAATATGCGGCTCCACTGGACTGGGCTATTTTCCATCGGGCCACCTAATGCGTACCTATCTTTGTGCTGAGAGCGCACCGCATTCCCAGCACAGAGACAGGGGTCTCGCAGAGAGCCCCGGGTCTGAAATTAACGATATGGACCCAGAACTCCCAATTCCAGGTCACTTGATTGCTGTGATAGCATCTGATTGGCTATCACAGTAATCAGTCAGCGTGAAACCCGCCCCCGTGTTTTCTCTCTCTGAATGGAGGAGAGAGATACATTGCATCTCTCTCCATTTAGAGAGAGAGAAAAAATATATATATAAATTTAAAAAAAAAAAAAAAAACAAAAAAACCCACCTAGATCAAGGTTTGATTTTGGTCAGTGCCAGGTGTAGTGTTTGGGTCAGGGTCAGTGGTTTTTGGGTGGGATTTGAAATTTTATTTTTTAAATTAGTATCAGTTAGTGTCAGTGTGATTTAAGGTGGATGATAAAAAAAAAAAAAAAAAAAAAAAAAAAAAAATCAGGAGGAGGAGATCTTCATTACTATTTAGCACCAAATGAACGTGCAATTTATCTGGGAAAAAAAAAAAAAAAAAAAAGGTATAATCCACCTGTACCTTGTGATGATATGCACGGTTTTACTAACACATGTCAAAGTTGCAAAACTGTGCTTAGGCATTAATATTTGTTTTACCCTTAGGCTCAAAGAGGTTAAGCAGAAAGTAAAGAACAAAAGGTAACTCTCCAGTTTCTAGATATTCGAATTACCTCATCATCCACCTCCTCTTCCTCCTCCTCAGTGGTGTCCTCTCTGTCAACTCGCCATTCCTCTCCGGGTTCAGATTCTGGCTCACTTTCACCCACCACTTCTGGTTCCACGATCTTACGGTGTCTGGCCAACCTGCAATGAGCAAACACATATGCTACAGCAGCCATTCTCCACCAGGATTCCTCCACAGGTTGCTAGGGGTTCCTTCGGTTGTGGCTAACTGACCTCCCATCTGTCAGTTCCTACATAGTTCTGGGACCAATGCCACTTGGCAGAGTAAGCAGCATGACACCATTGATCTTTGTAGCTATCTGGAAGGGGTGCATGTTGACCAGCACTGTAAGCTTTCCAATTACCACCGATGTAGGTGGCATATTTCCCCGATGAGCTGGTTTTAGCAAGAGTTCCCCAAGAACAGAACATTATTTCCAGGATTCCTCAGAGGTTAATAGGGTGCAATATTCAGTTCTTTGAATGAATATAACTAGCACAATTGGGCGGTCATATATTGACATTTGTGAACTTTCAGTTCATAAAAAGGTTTCCAAAACGTGCTCATAAAATAGTAAAAGGCAGGCAGTTCTGCAGCAACGTATAGCAGTAAATTGGCTATCAAGCTTGAGTGAAGTAGTGTAGAAAAATAAATACATGAATAAATGCACATACCTTTGCAGGTAAGAAATCTTTTTATTTACACACAATATACTCTATACTCTTCTGAAGAGCACAGTTACTTATGAGTCAATTTTAAACAAATCCATTACCTCTCTTCTACATCCTCATTCATGCGGTTCTGTAACCGGCGCAGACGTGGATCACTGGTGCTTTCTTCTGGCTGTTCCTCCGGTTCTACCTCCTGCTCCTTCCCTTTTTTTATGAACTGGAACTCCTCATCTTCCTCATCAGAGGATTCCATGGGTGCATAGTCAGGTCTTTTACCAGAGACATATCTTTTTACCTTTACCTTCTCCATCGAAATTTCACCTGGAAGAAATGGAACATGTTTACTTACGGCAACAGTTGAGCTTTTGATGCAAGTTAAGTTTTAGCTAAAAACGAACTGTAAAGTAAGCAACTCCTCAAACACATTGGGTACACAACACACAGAAATTTTCATCTAAATAATTCAGTCCATCAAAAGATTTATAGCATCAGAACATATCCCACTGGCATCACCCACCTCTCTTTAATCCACAATTAAAAATTTAAAAAGGGTCCCCTGTGTTTCTGAGAACTGCATCTGCCTGTACGAGTCCATGCACCTGACATCAGGTCAAGCCTAAGGGAAGGTTTTGAAGTGGTCAATAAGTACTTCATTAGAGCTCATCATTAGCATTCAATCACCAGAATTCAGAAGGTCAAGTGGAGCTGAGATAATTCTGTAAATTTCCACTGAAAGCTTTCTTTATGGTATTTTCTGGTACATATCATGCTGCCCGTTTGCTGTATATATAATATATATCTTAAGTTTAAAGCAAATGAAATAATGTAGCAAAAAATAGAAAAAAGTTAGTTCTTGTAAAGCTCTAATTTAATAATACCATAATTATACAGTGTATATGTATACTAATATATATTACACACACACACACACCTCCTAGATTGTAAGCGCCAAGGATCAGGCCCTCCTATTCCGCTTGTATTGAACTGTAATGTTGCTGTATTGTCTCCCATTATATATCGTAAAGCGCTGAGCAAACTGTTGGCACTATATAAATCCTGTATTATATATACACACACACACACACACACACACACACACACACACACACACCCACACAGTTAGGCCCATATATATTTGGACACAGGTTTTAGAGTTTTTTTTCAGGTATTTACCAAAACATATTCAAGCTATAGTTATATAATAGATATATACTGAAAGTGCAGACTCTCATGTTTAATTTGAGGGTATGTACATCCAAATTGGAGGACGGGTTTAGGAATTACAGTTCTTAAGGAGTAGCCATCCCCCCTTTTTTCAAGAGACCAAAAGGTAATTGGACAATTGAATATAATCATAAATAAAATGTTCATTTTTAATATTTTGTTGAGAATCCTTTACTGGGAATGACTGCCTGAAGTCTGGAACCCATGGACATTACCAAAGACTGGGTTTCCTCCTTTATGATGCTTTGCCAGGCTCTAACTGCAGCTGTCGTCAGTTGTTCTTTGTTTGTGGGTCTTTCTGCCTTTAGTTTTGCCTTCAGCAAGTGAAATGCATGCATGCTCAATGGGGTTGAGATCAGGTGATTGACTCAGCCATTGCAGAATATTCCACTTCTTTTCCTTCAAACATTCGTAGGTTGCTTTTGCAGTGTGTTTTGGATCATTGTCCATCTGTACTGTGAAGCGCCATTCAATCAACTTTGCTGCATTTGGCTGAATCTGGGCTGACAGTATATCTCTAAACACTGCAGAATTCATCTGACTGCTTCTGTCTTCTGTCACATCATCAATAAACACCAATGACCCAGTGCCACTGGAAGCTATGCATGCCCATGCCATCACAATGCCTCCGCCATGTTTTGCAGATGACGTTGTGTGCTTTGGATCATAAGCTAGAAATTCTGAAGGCCCTCTGCACACAGGTATATACCCTTCCAGCAGACTTTGCAATAAATAGGGATATTTGGTTCACACATATTGTCATAGGTGTATAACCACTAGCCTACCAGCCACTTATACCCCCTTCCAGCCCAAGCCAATTTTTAGCTTTCAGCGCTGTCACACTTTGAATGACAAATGCGCAGTTATGCAACACTGTACCCATATGAACTTTTTAGCATTTGTTTTTAGACAGATAGAGCTTTCTTTTGGTGGTATTTCATCACCTCCCTCTGGGTTTTTTATTTTTTGCTAAACAAAACTTCTCATTGGTCAGCACAGTGCTTGTCATTGTGATAGTGTGTCACAGAAGAAAGAGGAGCTTCTCATTGGTCAGCACAGTGCTTGTCATTGTGATAGCATGTCACAGCTTCTCATTGGTCAGCACAGTGCTAGTCATTGTGATAGCATGTCATAGAGCTTCTCATTGGTCAGCACAGTGCTTGTCATTGTGATAGCATGTCACAGAGCTTCTCATTGGTCAGCACAGTGCTTGTCATTGTGATAGCATGTCACAGAAGAAAGAGGAGCTTCTCATTGGTCAGCGCAGTGCTTGTCATTGTGATAGCATGTCACAGAAGAGGAGCTTCTCATTGGTCAGCACAGTGCCTGTCATTGTGATAGCGTGTCACAGAAGAAAGAGGAGCTTCTCATTGGTCAGCACAGTGCTTGTCATTGTGATAGCCTGTCACAGAAGAAAGAGGAACTTCTCATTGGTCAGCGAGCTCACGTGGTTAAGCTGACCAATGAGTGCTTGCCACTGCGAGCATTAAGATGTCTCCTCACTCTAGGGCTGTGTATTATGGTGTACGGACTCCTACACTGGCAGCGGGGGACATCACGGCCTCTATGTGCAGAGGGTCTGGAGGGGTGGACAGGATATTTGCAGTTAGCTCACCTCCTCATAAATCTTAAAAAGGTGAACTTACGCTTCAAAAGCCCCTCTACTTTTGAGGTTTTGAGCCTTTCATACAATGTTTCTATGCAGTGCGATTGTGTTTACTGCTGACCTCTTCTTTTCTCCTCTATATTATAGTAATGATGGATCTTCCCTGTATAGGTCGGGATTACTGGCTGGGCCAACACTTGCAGTTTTAGCATCGCCCTCAGGATACATGGTCATACAAGTCTACAAAACATTACTCGCTGTGCCATCTTCAATACATGGTGACACAAGAGACAAGGTGGCAGCTGAGCTGACACTCAAGGAAAGTGAGGGATCAAAGCTAAACGGACTAAGAAAACTGCAGTGACCAATCAGAGCATTCACTGTACTGAAGCTCAGTTTACACCACCATACAGTCCAGTGCATTTCTTTTCTGCATAACAAAAACACATGGAAAGCAGGTTATATGGTTTCCAATGGCATATTTCACACCAGTGCCGTCAATTCTTGGGCTGTCACACACACACAAACACACGAGAACATGATGCATTTTTCCTGTATTGGAACCAGGGTGGATAAAAATCAATGATTTTTTAAAAAAAAATCAAAAAAAAAAAAATCAGTTTTTATTTAAATTGGATTTTTTTTAAATAAAAAGCTTTTTGAGGAAAATATATTACTATCCAAAGGTTATTCCATCATGAAATAAAGATTAGTTTTTTTAATTATGTAGAATAAGGCTGTATATGTTTAATTATTTTGGTAAATAAATTCCATGAATCCATTCACAATGTCATGCTCTTCCAGAGGTTTTTGTAAGATTATTGGGCAGTTTCTCTGCCTACAAGATATTATCACAGATGTTTGGTTTACTTTTGCAGTTCTCAAAACTGAATTTGACTCAGCGGAGATCACATGCCTCTTCTTCACAGCAAAAATGTTATAAACATGAACAGAGTTAAGAAAAAGACCTTCATCCTAACTTCTACAAACCTATGAATACAGAATCAACCCCTTCAGTGCTAAGTTTCAAGAAGTTCAGTGAATAGAATAGAAACAATATTTTTCTGATTGTTTGGAGTGGAATAGATCTGCACAAGAAGAAAGTGAAACTAAGTGTGAGGAGGAAGGGGCTGACAGTGCGAGGAGGGAGGGGCTGACAGTGCGAGGAGGGAGGGGCTGACAGTGCGAGGAGGGAGGGGCTGACAGTGCGAGGAGGGAGGGGGCTGACAGTGCGAGGAGGAGGAGGGGCTGACAGTGCGAGGAGGGAGGGGCTGACAGTCTACGTTTCTTAAAATATATATATTTTGTTTAGCCAAATTAGTTACCAAACATGGATGTTTAAGCAAATCACATATGCTGGAATGTTATTGTTTCAGTTGAATAAATCTATTTAAATTGTTATTATTAAGGGAATGATTATTTTTCTCCTTCCTAAGTACAACAGAAAAGTTGTCCAAATATGAATGATTAACCTATTAAACTGGGGATAAAAAAACTAATATGAAAAGTTGTTATTCTAAAAATCTTCATCTACTTGTATATTAAAGTTATACCAGCAAGAATTAGTCTTTATGTAGAAAACTAGGATTTACATCAAATCCACCCTGAGTCCAGTGCATTTCTTTTCTGCATAACAAAAACACATGGAAAGCAGGTTTTATGGTTTCCAATGGCATAGTTCACACCAGTGCAGTCAATTCTTGGGCCGACAGACAGACAGACAGACAGACAGACAGACAGACACACCATTTTTCCTGTACTGGAACGCAGTAAAACGCATCAAAAATTCACAGTAATGCATCAAAAACACACGGGTTGCAAGCAGTGAAAAAAAGAAAGAAAAAAGGAATCTGGTATGCATCAAAAACACTTCCAGAACAGATCTGGAGTGCGTCTTTTGTGGTGTAACCCAGAACTGTCCTCTGATCTACCTGTGGCACCATCAGACAGTACACTTCTCAGATGTAAATATGCATGAAGATGACCCTGGTCCACCACAGAGCTCACAGAGGAGACTCTGTACTGCAAAATGTAAACATTGATCCCCAGGAGTCATGTTATTGTGCAAAGCTCACCACACACTATACAATCAAATTGTATTATCTCCTTCAGCTTTAAAGGATAAGTTCACCTTTTGGGAAAAAAAAACAAAAAACAAAAAAAACAACCACAACAAATAATAAATGCACTTTTTTTTGAAGCTAAAAAGAAAAAAAAAATGTGCGTTTCTGATTTCTTTTCTAAGGAGCGGGCAGAGCATTGCACCCACAATCAGCAGATCATGAGTGCAATGCCAGGCTCCTGCGGACTGTCAGGATAGCGGTCTGCCTGTACCTCACATACAGACAAGCAGCAGGAAGATCAATGAACTAGGACAGCGCTCCCCAGCACCCTCACAGTTCATTGAGCACTAGAAGCCATCTGCCGCAATGGCTGACAGTACTTGTAGTCTATTTATCCACAGGGAACTGTGAATGAATGACGTAGCTGTGTGGGCGGAGCCCCACACAACCGCACCTTTTAAAAAAAGTGACAGTGGGTGCGGGGAGAAGATCCCCTGCCAATGTCACGCTGAGGGGGCTGGGAGGTGGAAATCAGTGGAACTGGCAGCAGGAGCAGCAACATGTTACACGTTCCACCCTAAAGACAGGTGGAACATATAAAATATTCCAAAAGGTGAACTTATCCTTTAACAAAATGTCCATGTTCTCCAGTGAGAGACTCGAGAGTTCTCTAGTTGGATTGGACATTTGTCTTATAAAGACTTCTAGAAAGCATTGCTGGCCATACACCATACAATCTGATTGTACAATATCTTTTTGATCTACAAAAACTATGTACAGTGGGGAAAATAATGATTTGATCCCCTGCAGATTTTGTAAGTTTGCCCACTTACAAAGAAATGAAGGGTCTATAATTTTTTATCATAGGTGTATTTTAAATTATAGAGACAGAATATCAACCCAAAACCCAGAAAAAAAAAAACACGATACAAATGTTATAGATTGAGTTACAGTTCAGTGAGTAAAATAAGTATTTGATCCCCAAGCAAAACATGACCTAGTACTTGGTGGAGAAACCCTCGTTGGCAAGCACAGAGGTAAGACGTTTCTTGTAGTTGGTTACCAGGTTTGCACACATCTCAGGAGGGATTTTGGTTCACACTTCTTTACAGATCTTCTCTAAATCCTTAAAGCGATTTTAAACGGTTCTTTTTTTTTTTTATTATTATCCGTAAAATAACAAACATGTCTTTACTTTTTTGCACAGAGCAGCCCGAAATCCTTCCCTTCTCAGGTCCCCCACAGACTTTCCCATCTCCTCCTGTTTGTCAATCTGTACAATCTTCTTTACCTGACCATACAATCTGATTGTACAAACCCCTCTGCCTGACCATACAATCTGATTGTACAAACCCCTCTGCCTGACCATACAATCTGATTGTACAAACCCCTCTACCTGACCATACAATCTGATTGTATGGTAAAAATTGTCAGGTAGTGAAGATTGCACAATCTGACCATACACTGTACAATCTCCTACCTGACCGCACAATCTGATTGTATGGTCAGGTAGAAGGGTTTGTACAATCAGATTGTATGGTCAGGCAGAGGGGTTTGTACAATCAGATTGTATGGTCAGGCAGAGGGGTTTGTACAATCAGATTGTATGGTCAGGTAGAAGGGTTTGTACAATCAGATTGTATGGTCAGGCAGAGGCGTTTGTACAATCAGATTGTATGGTCAGGCAGAGGCGTTTGTACAATCAGATTGTATGGTCAGGTAGGAGATTGTACAGTGTATGGTCAGATTGTGCAATTTCCTACCTGACCACACAATCTGATTGTATGGTCAGGTAGAAGGGTTTGTACAATCAGATTGTATGGTCAGGCAGAAGGGCTTATACTATCGCCTTTACCTGACTGTACAATCAGATTGGCTGGTGTATGGTCAGCAATACTCTGTAGTGCCCAGTCCCGGATACAGAACTCCCCTCCCGGGGTCCGGACCTCCCCATACTAGGCTCTGCGGCCTACCTCAGCCCCTACCTTTCTCATTGCGGACAGGGACGGCCCCGGCCGTGGACTGGATCGGCGGCTGCTTGCTGAGCGCATTGGAGGACGCCATGGTTCCGGTAGCGGGGAGAACCGACACACAGACCTACAGAGAACAGATCAAAACACTGGGAGGAACGGAGACCACAGAGATGATGGAAAGACGGCCGCCCTCTCTATTGTCACTTCCTGGTGCGTGGTGCGTAAAGGACGCATGCGCACTAGGCTCCTCCCTTTCCGCTCGGGTACTGGAGGAAGATGGTGAGAGTTTTGTGTGTGTGTGCGGCCGGTCATGTAATCTGTTGTCATCCTTTCCCGGAGGAGGTCCCGCTCTATAGCCGGGCAATGTGTCTGCTTGAGGGGGCTCTACTGTCCCGGGCCGGGGCGTTATGGATGTGCTGGGGGCGCTTGGTAGGCCTCGGATAGACCTTCTATAGAGGGTGATGGCCGTGTCCTCTCCAGGATGGTGGTCTGTACACAGGCCGGTTCCCCCCCCCCCATACAGGCCTCCAGTGAGGGGGAAATGTACACCTTGTGCGGCCAGGCTCCTCATACACCCTCATTGGGCTGTGTGTACACAGGAGGGCTTCCACAGGGCACGGCATTGGGTTTCCAGTTTGGATAGAGCCAGGCACAGGTATGACTCTGGGCAGGTTTATTCTGCCCATTGGTGAGATTTCCCTTCACTTCCTGTCTCAGAACCTAAATAGGAAGTGAACTAGTGTCCCCGTTGGCAGAGTTCCCTAATATTCCTGTTCTGGTGACAACCCACAGCTGGGGGCTTTCTTTGTGTTCAGTGAGAATGATCACCTGGATGAACAGTGGGATTCTTCCTAATGGGGAAACTGCAGTAAAAACCCGACCAAGGTTCCATCTCCTCTTCGCAAAAATAAAATGGAAAATGTTTTCCCTTTAGATATACTTCAAAGTAGAACATCGCTCTGATAGGGAAGCTCCACTTTTTTCTTAACTGGTAGTACACCAAAATGAAAATTCTGGTGCTGAAAACGAAAATTCAAAATGTACTTGGCCTAAAACTGACATGCCCAGGTTTGAAAAATGAATATATTTTTGGGGAAAAAATGCTGATTATAAAGAACAAAAAGAAAACATACCCAATTTTTTTTGTAAAAAAAAGAGGATGTTAAGGCGGGTAAATAGATACCCAACATGTCACGCTTTAAAATTGCGCACGCTCGTGGAATGGTGTGAAACTGCCGTACGTAAAAAAAAAAAAAAAAATCTCCATGGGTGATGCTTTAAAAATATCTACAGGTTAGCAGTGTAGCGTTAGAGGAGGTCTAGTGCTGGAATCGTTGCTCTTGCTCCGATGTTCCTGGCGATACCTCATGTGTGGTATGAACACCAGTTACATATGTGGGCTTGGCCTGCGTATGCGTTCACCACTATGTCTGAGCACTCTTTTTTTTTTTTTTTTTTTTTTTTTTTTTTTTTTTTTTTTTTTTTCCAATTTAATGTTTGTTTTTTTTGTTTTTTTTCCACTGTCCCTTTTTTAAAAAAAAAAAAAAAAAAAAAAAAAAACACTTTTATTCTCACAAGAAATGCATGCATCTCTTTGATAGAAATAATTAGTGACAGGTCCTCTTTATGGAGAGATATGAGGTCAATAAGACCCCACATCTCTCCTCTGCAATGTAAAGCATTGGAGCAAAAAAAAAAGGATTAACCTAGTGCTTTAAAATAAAAAAAAAATAATGGCCGGAACGGAGAGTGACATCACTCCGGTCCTTCAAGGGCATAGAGATGAGTGGCGGCCATCTTTCCTTCACTCATCTCTATGCCCAGCACCAGGATCGATGGTTTATCAGGTAAGGCTGAGAACTACTGAGTGGCGAGGGGCGGGATTTTTTCAGCACCTGTATCAGTGCTTTTTTTTTTTTTTTTTTTTTTTTTTTTTTTCTTTCATTTTGGCCAATGGCCGAAAAGGTTGTTTCGGCCACCAAAATTTTGGTGCATCCCTACTCTTAAACCCCCCCCCCATCATATTTGGAATTTTTTTACTGGGGTGGAGGTTACCTACATTCAGGTATGAACGCCCCTAAATTGTATGGAAAATGGATGTACATTTCCATCCATTTTAGTCGCGTGCTGATGTCCTTTGACATACATTTTAGTGCATGTTGGAGTACTGCATTGTCATAGGATATCCTGTGCATTGTGTGACATCCACTGTGTTGTGCTACATTGCATACATGTTGTATTTTAGCGCAAGGCAGCGTTATGGTGTGACTAGGACACATTAAAAAATTTTCAGCTGTCCTTTCGTTAATCTGCGTTTTACAGCTGCACTAAAACCTCGATCAACGCACTGGTGTAAATTGGCACTTCTTGTGTGTGTATGTTTCTTGTGGAAACTAATGTGAAAAGATAAGAGGGGATTAAAAAAATAAAATCATTGGAGGGTAGAGTTCCTCTTTATTATTCTTATTATTATACAGTATTTATAAAGCGCCAACAGTTACATTACAAAGGGGGACAGAACATGTGACAGAACAATACCAATACAATGCAAAACATGAGGGGATCGAGGGCCCTGCTCTTTCTTTAGTGCTGGATAGAGCCCTCGTTGATTGGAGGAGGACTGGTTTCTGTTCCTGACTTTATTCCCCTCATTGATTTGTTATGTGGGAAGATGGTTGCATTACTGAAAGTGTTCTGTTTGCAGACAATCCAAACCTTCTAGAGAGTTGTAGTTGTGTGTAAATCTTATGTTTTTTTTTCTTTTGTTTTTTTTAATTCTTGCAGGCCAAACGCACAAAGAAGGTTGGCATTGTGGGTAAATATGGGACCCGTTATGGTGCTTCCCTAAGGAAGATGGTCAAGAAAATTGAAATCAGCCAACATGCCAAGTACACCTGCTCCTTCTGTGGCAAGGTAAAGGCTCATTCAGTCATTGAGGGGGAAAAGGATATTGTGTTCTATTGTGGGGTCTCATCTGTATTTTTTTCCTTAGACCAAAATGAAGAGGAAGGCTGTAGGAATCTGGCACTGCGGTTCTTGCATGAAAATTGTAGCTGGAGGAGCCTGGACCTACAAGTAAGTGAAGTTGCAAGGCCAAACCAAATTTGGATGAAAATGTGTGTGGTTTTCACAATCTAATTCCCAGAAAATTAAAAACTGGATGAATTAAAAAAAAAAAAAAAAAAAAAAAAAAAAAAAACTCTGGTATTGGTGAGTTCTCTCTCTGTTGGGGGATTGAGACATTTCGGTGTAGAATATTCCTTGCAGCAATTGGTTGGATTCAGATATTGTTGTCATAAGTCTCAGTTGGAGTTGACAGTCATGGTCTGCCTTCTGGGGTGTGTAAAACATTTTTACCAAGTGAACTTGTACTTTGCTGACTTAGGCACATGGTAACCAGTTTATTGGAAGGTAGACCTCTTCCAGCGCTTGTACTTGGCACTGTGTCACAGCAGTGCTGGTAAAGCTTTATTATTTCTCATAGTGATGGAGCGTCTCCAACACGTCCTACCTCATGCAGTTTCCTATTGGACACTGAAGCTTCCTGTCATAGACATGGGTCAGTGGGAATGTCTACTTGGGGCATAGCCAAGCTCTGACTACTCAGAGAAGTGTTTATTGGCCTGGCATTTGACTGTGATGGGAAGCTTGGGAGACTGCTCAAGGTATGTGCCTACCTACAGTTGTTTGCTCCGTTCCCCCTCTGACACTCTTTTAAAATGGAATTCCAGCCTATGCTTGATGTCTCTCCCACCCCCACACTACCTATCCTCTCTAACCTGTGTGTGTGTGTGTGTGTGTGTGTGTGGGGGGGGGGGGGGGGGGGGGGGGATCTGCAGACTCAATTTTTAGTCTGTCCACATGATCCTCTGGTTAATGTTTATCTGATCACATATCTAAATAGTTATAATTGTTCCTTTTTAACCCTTTTTTCTGCCATGGAAGTACTACATATGTGGCAGCACAGCTTGTTTTTGTGCGTCCTCCAATTGTTGGCCTTTTTGTGGAAGCAATTTGGATGGTTGTTAAACCTCCAGATCACTTCCAGGGGTGCGGCAATGTAAATGTTGCAGGCACTTTAATAGCTGGTGGTGTTTACATTGCTTGAAAGCTGAACTTCAGCTAAAGTATTTTATTTGTTGGGAATTGAACAGTGAACATTTGGATCCTCTGCCAGTTTGTCTGTGTCCCTATTATGGACATTTACCCCTACTTCCCGTTAGGGCAGAAACTGAGAGACCTCTCCAGTGGGGACACCAATAAAATAACTCTTTAAAGCCTAAGCTTATCTGAAATAAAACCAGCACAATGAACATTGCTTATCTTCAGGGGGATGTCTTTTGTGCTCCTTTGTCCTTTCACCAGAGTCCGATGATCCCCCTGCCACCGTAATCTTCCAGTGCAGCGGGGGTTAATAGAACTAGAAATAGAGGGCTGTGATAGGCACTTGTGTGCTGAACTAGGGCCACCCTTTCCACACAGCACCTCCATTCATATTTATGGCTTCCATGAGTTAAATGTCTATAAATGGAGGAAGACCAGTTGAAGGTCTGCCCCCTCCATTTCTACTTTATGCTTCATTCGTGTAGTAATAGCTTCTATGGAAAAGCAGCTGGGCGAAAAGGGAAAGACACAGAAGCACAAGGGACACATCTCACTGGAGTCAAGTAATGTCCTTTGCGCTGATTGTGCGCTGGTGGTTTTGTTTGTTTTTTTTGTTCTGCTTTGTTTTTTTAATTGTAAAATTTGGCTTTAAAGTGGAGACAGGTTTGAGCCCTCAGTTCTTGTACACAGCAAAGAGGGCAATCTGCCCAATAGGGTCACAGGTATAAATAAAAACGACAATGTTTTTTTTCTTTCCCACTCTACAAAAAAAGGAAAAAACAAATATGTGGCGGCAGATATGATTTTAGACTAATTTATGGGCAGCCTAGTGTAAATGGACTCCACTGTTGGTTTATACCCCACTGCCCTCTGATCCGCTTAAATGGAAGTGGTATACTACACCCCCCCCCCCCCCTTCTATGGACTTGACTGCCCATAAAGGAGCATGGACCATCTGAACAGTTCCTCCCATGATGAACATGCAAAAGGGGCCCTGCTGGTGGGCAAGAGGTGGCAATTAAATGCTGTTCATTGCCAAGTCTGTTATTTAGGGCTCGTTCACACCATATGTGCAGAAAACAGATGGAAACTCATGTGCAGAATCCACTTGCAGGAACAGTTTACGATTCAATGAGTTTTATACATGTTGCAGATTCTTGCGCAGAAAAAAATCTGTACGTGATACTAGTGTTGTGGTGTAGATGGGACACATAGGGAACAATTGATTTGATTTGCGGTCTTGCAGAACGTGTGCAGAAAAACTGATGTCACTGCATCATGGTGCGAGCCCTTAATGTCAAGTCATCACCTTTCCTTTTTTTTTCAGTTAGGACTTCTTTCAGAGACCCAAATAACAGCAAAAAATTGAAAAGGTTTCCCTGCATGGCCACGCTGCTTATGAACTGTGACAGTGGGTACAGGGAGAAAAATCCTCACCCGCTGTCACAATGAGGGGGAAATTGGCTACCAGAGCTTGGAACATGTTCCACCTTAAATACAGGTGGAATGTGTAACACGTTCCAAAAGGTGAACTGTGTTTTTGTTGTGTTTTTTTTTTTTTTCTCTAAGTGTTACTTTAAATATGAATCTTTCAGCTGCCTATATATGCAGTTGCCAAGTGCTGATTGGGGGAACCTAGACCTGCTCTATGGCACTGACAAGTTTTTGTTTTGTTATTTTTAAGCCCAAGTTTTCTGTCACTTTTAAGTTATTTAGGGGAAGCTGGGGAATACTGTTTCCTTTACGGAGTGGAGTGGCTGCTGTGAGCCCTGTATAATACTGAAGCATCAGCTACGTACAGTGCGTTGTGTTCTGGCAGTGACTTGGCAGACTGAGCTGTATTGTGTGACATCGTCCACCCATCTCTATCTTGGCCAATCAGAAAAAGCCTTGTGTCCAATGATAAAATTACAGGGCTTCTTCTGGCAGAAAAGCACTCCTATTAATTTGTTTTTTGTCTCAGCAGTGTAACACAGAGCTGTGTAGTTGATGTTCACAGCAGCAGCATCACTTGGTAAAGTGACAGAAAACCTGGACTTGGGCTTTACTTTAAACTGTCAGTGCCATAGAGCAGGCCTAGACTTGCCAAAGAACCAGCACTTGCCAGCAACCTGCATATGAATATATAGGTAACTGAAAGATATATATGTAAGGGAAACTACAGTCATGGTTCAAATGGTCAACCGCTACAAATATTGTAGCTGCTGACTTTTAAATAGACTTTATAGTCCAGAAGTGAATCTTGTCATCACCTGGGCCAGTTCTTCACCAGTCTTAAGTCCCTGGCTCCACCATCTTGCTTGTGGGACGCTAACTGTGACTTCTGCTGTGGTTCTCCATAGAGCATACATGAGATTTGCTGTGTTTTCAGACTGGTCCAGCAGCATCCTGAGATGTGACCTGTCCTAGGAGGTTGGGGTGGGAATTCTGCTATTGTCAGACGACTGTGGGTACTTGTCAGAGATAGGTTCTCGCTCGCAGGAAGAGAATGATGCTATTGTGAGAGAGGAGGATGAGCAGAAAACTGGGGGGGGTGTTTTGTTTTGTTTTTTTTTTTTTTTTAAGGTTAGGTTCTGCTTTAAGAAGGTTGAGAATATTCTGTTTAAATTTGAACAGACGTCATTTTGACAATAGAATAGAGACAAACAGACAAATACTTTACCTAAAAATGCAACTTCACCTCCCACATCAGATTTTCTACAAGGCATGAACCTGCTGTATCAGCAAGAATGTAAATAGAGGAGGAAATAATATAGTAATACATATCAGCTAATCAGGAATCGTACAGCAGCAAGATGAGATTTGATTGGTACAGATTGGCATAGGCTCAGTAAAAATGCTGTGTTTGAATAAGTTTCACGATTTGTCTCTTGCTTCAATTCTTCCTTCTAAACCCACATACAGTATCTCCCAGAAGTGAGTCCACCACTTACATTTTTGTAAATATTTTATTGTATCTTTTCATGTGACAACACTGAAGAAATGACACTTTACTACAATGTGACGTAGTGAGTGTACAGCTTGTATAACAGTGTACATTTGCTGTCCCCTCAAAATAACTCAACACACAGCCATTAATGTCTAAACCGCTGGCAGCAAAAGTGAGTACAACCCTAAGTGACAATGTCCAAATTGGACCCAAGTGTCAATATTTTGTGTGGCCACCATTATTTTTCACCACTGCCTTAACCCTCTTGGGCATGGAGTTCACCAGAGCTTCACAGGTTGCCACTGGAGTCCTCTTCCACTCCTCCATGATGACATCACGGAGCTGGTGGATGTTAGAGACTTTGCGCTCCTCCACCATCTATTTGTGGATGCCCCACAGATGCTCAATAGGGTTTAGGTCTGGAGACATGCTTGGCCAGTCCATCACCTTACCCTCAGCTTCTTTAGCAAGGCAGTGGTGGTCGTCTTGGAGGTGTGTTTGGGGTCATTATCATGTTGGAATACTGCCCTGCGGCCCAGTCTCTGGAGGAAAGCGATCATGCTCTACTTCAGTATGTCACAGTACATGTGGGCATTCATGGTTCCCTCAATGAACTGTAGCTCTCCATTTCCGGCAGCACTCATGCAGCCCCAGACCATGACAATCCTACCACCATGCTTGACTGTAGGCAAGACACACTTGTCTTTGTACTCCTCACTTGGTTGCCGCCACACACGCTTGACACCATCTGAACCTAGTTTATCTTGGTCTCATCAGACCACAGGACATGGTTCCAGTAATCCATGTCCTTACTCTGCTTGTCTTCAGCAAACTGTTTGTGGGCTTTCTTGTGCATCTGCTTCAGAAGAGGCTCTTTCTGGGACCACAGCCATGCAGACCAATTTGATGAAGTGTGCGGTGTTTGGTCTGAGTACTGACAGCCTGACCCCCCCCCCCACCCCTTCAACCTCTGCAGCAATGCTGGCAGCACTCATACATCTATTTCCCAAAGACAACCTCTGGATATGACGCTGAGCACGTGCACT